TTACGTAGCTGCCGACATTATGCCCTGATTACCTCAATCTGCAGTCGAGCAACTTGGGAGCAGTGTTTAGCTCGAATTTTTTCCAACCACGCAGTTCCACCAGTTCCGTGTGTATGGCGTACGGCAGACGCTCTGGCACCTTGTCGGCGGAAATGTGCTTCTTGTAGATGTCTTCTCTCATCGGACGTCGGGAGCCCTGCACGCTTTCTTGCCCGGTCACGACAATTTTCCCGACGATGTTGGCAGCTTGCTTCCGCATCTCCTGTCTGCGTACTCTGTAATGGTCTCAGATACAAGCTTGTCGTACAACCACTAGTATAGCTTCATGTCCTACAGTTTTATGGATGTTTTAGGATTTGTTCATCTTCCTGCCTCGTCCACAAAGTATATGTTCATGTCGAGACAAGTGTGGTATTCTCCGAGGATGGCTTCCAAATGCGCTGTCTGGAGACTTTGGCCCACGCCACCTGCGCCTATACCCCAGAAGGCACGGTCCACGTTCTCACCACGCAAAGCAAGAGTGAACGAGGCCATGAAGACCTCGAATGCATTCGCGTTGTCCCAGTAGGTCGTCTGCCAGAACAAGTGCACTCTTTGCCGCACGTCATCCGCAACCGGATCCAGCATTTTGTGCGGAAGGTAGACATAGACGTCGTTGGCTGCTGCTTTGGGGACTGCCTGCAACCCAGCATCCGTGAAAGTGAAACAGGCATCGGTGGTGCAAAAGCCACCAGAGGGCTGAATGTCGAGAGAACACCAGGCAATGTAGTACTTGATGAGACTATCATTGAGCAAGGAGGTTTGCCTGGGAGCTGTCACCGACAAGCACACAAACTAAATAGAACCAGTTAAACTCTATATTCAACACGAAGCATTTCTCACGTTTTACATGAAACGAGCGGCAACTTCACATAGAGCTTGCCGATTGTGTTGGCCATTGCCACCGTCCAAGGCAAGGCCTTGCGATGGTCCTCGGCCCCATCGCCTTCATCCCGAGTGTTTGCTTTGGATGGCATTCGACAAGTAGCAGCCCTTTCACAGGCAGCCAGAAGGCTATCGCAGCAACCAGAGTGTCTTTCCAACAAAGCTTGAGACGCCTGCAGGATGCCTTCACTGTTCCGTAGGGCAGATGACTCGAATAACGCGTAGACGCCTTCCAACTGGATCAGAAACTTCTTACATCGCGCAAGAGTGCCTTGGGGAACCACACCCTTGTAAGCATTCCAGTGGCCATGTTCCGAATAGAAAAAACATTGGCCATTGTGGGCACGGACATGTCTCCCGGACCCTTCGATGAGCTCGAGGAACAGGACTTCCTCTCGCCGGCTGATATCCAGAAGCCGAAGTTGATGGACAGCTAGAGCCCCTTGAACCACGTGACGAAAGGCGGTCGACCATGCCGCACTGGGCCGATATGCTGTAATCATCCTTTCGAGTCCGCCGATCTCCTTGAGGATGCTCCCTTCAACAGATTCGCGCTCAGAGGACTGACCAGGGATGGATGACATATCGAAATCCGTTCGCATGAACTGACTCATTGCATTATCCGGAGTAGCTCCCTCCACAGATTCCTGGGCTTTGTGTCGCTTCGAAGATCGTTCGTCTGCACTGGGTACTTCTGGAAGTACGTCTTCATAAGTGTCCATCTCTTGATCCAACATCTGCGAGAATGATAGCTCGCCTTCTTGACTCCCGCCACGTAAATCTCCACTCTCTGCGGAGAGGTGTATCTGGAGCTGTCTATCATCCCTTCTCCAGCTCATTAGCTTTTCGATCTTGTCCTGCATCATTGGCACGTTCACGATGAGTGGCTGCGGCGCATTGTCCGGATGCAAGCACACTATCCTGAGTTCTGTCACGTTGATGTCGTAGTATCTTCGTAGGATCCAGGCGTAGATGTTCACTTGAACCCGATAGTGCCACAGGACGGAATCAGGAACGTCGTTCATGGGAAAGTGCATCATGCGTCCATACGCAGCATCTTTGGAAGCAAGGGCCTTGGTTCTTTTCCAGTCCAGAATGCAATACTCGTTCTGTCGTACGGCCACTGCATCAATGGAGCCCGCAACATCCTCTGCTTCACAGTAAACACACCACTCTGTTCTGAATATCATCCATCCTTCTGCTTGTAATCCTCGTATGACCTTGGTGAACATGCACATCTCCTCCGAGGCAAGGCACACCATCCCACCGTTCAACAAGCACTCGCAGCACGCATGCATCCATGTACCCTGAGCAGCAGCCGTGCGTCGGTTCCTCTCCCATCTGTCCAGGATCTCATCATCCGTCATGCTGACAACAGAAGCTAGATGAGAACAGCCTGGATGAGTCCAGACAAGATCACGGATAGCCTGACAGATGGCTGCAATATCTGTCACCTCTGCATCTACCAAATGTCGCAGTATCAGCGTCAAAGGGCTATTCGGTAGATGTTGGTTTAAGACCTCCACGACATTGGCAACTGTGTACTCCTCTCGTGGCCAGTTTCTGCCATTGCGCATCGCACGGAGTGCGTCAGCAGAATTGAATTGATGCGTGAGACCATGAATCAAGCTGGTAACCGACACGCTGACTCTGCGCCCTTCCCAAGTGTAAATATGTTCCAGTTCTTCAAACTGGAGACTGCAATCTCGGGGGTGAAGATGTACGTGACTCAAGACGTCCAACACATTCATGCCGGCTAGGTGCGTGATGTCGAAGCATGAGGGACTCTCCAGCACAATTGTACGTGGATTTCTGAGATCTCTCAATGCAGGTGGCAGAACAGCAGCCAAGTCCACGTCGATCAGACCAAACCTACCAGGCGTCTTCGTGCCATTTCTGTCAATCGCGAAGAACGCAGACACGCCATTGTGTTGAATAGAACGTTCAAGTCTTCGCAAGAAATTCTGGTCCACGTCATGGAAGCTTGCGTTATGGATTTCCGATGCTGCATAGACTAGCTCCTGCTGCATCCTGATGCGATCACAGAGTAAACCAAATGCCGCACTTTCGCCTTCGAAATTGACATACAATCGCAGCAATGCGGTCAGACGTCTTTGTTCAATGTGTATCCGTTGTTGTCCTATTCCAGACGACCCGCCGAGGCGATCCTCCAAGAAGGTGTCAGGAAGGCATGCCAGGCACGACTCATTTCCCACGAGACCATGTTGCTGGCAATACCAATATGAGCAGGTCATACAGCAGCCAACACTGTCTGAGTAACAGTAGGAACACTTTGGCTGGCCAAAGTGGGTTTGATATTGAAATGGCAGCAACTCAACGCTCAGGCCTGTAGCTGGCCGCTCACTATCGCCGACACACGTGACAGCGACACGCGACCAGTGATCTAAACGTTGTGTCGCCGATAAGGGAAGTGTGATCACAACTGCATCATTGTAATGCACCGCGAGCGCATCGTCCTCCCACCGAAACTCAAACGTATGAAAGTCAGTCGTTGCCGATGTCATCCAGCTTGCTTGTGGGACTCCAACACGCTCACCATTTAACAATCGAACAGACATCTGTCCAGAATGACTGAAGGGATCCTTGAGAATCATGCAGGTGCTCCTTGTCGGAGTGCTGCGATGGTTGGGACCACGTCGAATCGCCATCACCAAGTACTTTGTGTACTGTGGCAGACCACATCGAAGTTTCACGGATTTGTATGTTTGACACTCAGACCTCCAGTACGTAATTGCCGTCCGTCTCTCGATCAAGCATGGTACATATTCGCCATCGCCGCGAAGCCAGAGTTTATCACCCAGGGCAGTGAAAATATGCAAGAGCGCATGTGGACAATACACGCGCTTGGCGCTTGTCTGCCAAGCTTCCCGAAGACCATGAAAAATGTACTGGCACGAAAAACCGGGCTCGGCAAGGATTTAAACTCAATCCGTTCATCCAGCCAGACTTGTTTGTGTTGCACAGCTGTTCGCAGCGCATCGCTGCACGCAGACAGGCGGAGTAGGTCTGCCATACCCTCCAGCCAGGGAGCTGCACGCGACAGTGTGTCTGTCCAATCTGAAGCTCCACCTTGTAGATCTGCAATCGCGCTTGATCCGCCTTGTGCGTCGTAGCAGTCAAACACCCAAGATGTATCTAGTTCAGTAGGCAGGAGTGAGCTGTGAATAGGCACGGTGACCAATCTAGACTCTCTTGTACAAAAGATGTGGATGGCAACCTGTGCTGCGTGTGTAAACTGCCCATGTTCCAGCGGTAAACATCCAAGCAAGTATCCGTCCATGCAGATCTGGAAAGTGCATTGTCCCCATTGAACGTGTAGTTGTCGATCAGATTCCATGGGCCTCCAAGGCATGCGACACGTGCGTGTCGCTGCTTCCCGGTCCCGTCGACTGTGGCTCATGGAACACAGTACCACCTCGCCCTGTAAATTGCCAAGTTCGCACCAGCATCTCTCCATATTGGAGCCTACAGAGATGATGCATCTTTCTGGCATATCTGCTGCGCAGAGGTTGAAACGAAGAGGTCCCAGAACTGATCCGGCTGTGCGCCATATCGTCATGCTTGTTTCAGCTAGCAGCATTGTGCGACGTGCACTTGGCCACTCCACTGTAAGGAAGCGGGAAGACCGCAGTGCTCGACTCAGCTCAGAGCCACCGCGGAACCAGTCCCCCCGCACGGCCTGGGAGTTGATGAGTCCAGGGCTGCTTCCTGTCCACGTCACCGAATCTGTGACCAGACGATGAGCCGCTGTGCTTGTTTGATCGAATCGGGCCAGTGATGTCAAGTCTCCAAGTATTGTGACCACATCGACGTGATTCGGCAAGTCTTGCCACGCCCCACCCAGCACATCTCCGCCAGAAGTGCCGCCAACCGCCGCGTCCTGCGACAATCACAACGGTAGAGGTTTCATGAGTTTCCGCTACCTACTATTTTGTCTGACTCGATATCAGTACATCCTAATCTCCTTTCCTCCGTATTTGCTTAGCATGTATGATATCATGTAAGAGCCAAGACTAGAAAGCCGCTTATGATAAGGACGGATACTGCAAGTTTTCCAGCCACGGCCCCAAGTCAAGCCGGTCCTCTATGGCAAAGAAGCCCGTGCATAAGCGTGGGTTCAGAAACCATCCATGTTCAGCTGAGTAAGACACCGGGTTTTCAATATCATCGACCTGGACTGCTTCCCAATTGTGCGTTCTATTCGTGTGGTTCAGCTGAAGACAGCCATCTTGCTTTCGCAAAGCCATGAAGTGTGCATCAGCCGCCACCAGAAACTTCGCGTCCCGTGATCGGACAATGTGCTGCCAGTCCGTGCGGCGGATGATTTTCCTCAACAGACCCAAGCACGCGGAACACTCGTTCTGCTGCGCACAATTCGGTGCATCTTATCTAAGTGCAGTCAAGCTGCCCCAGTGGGTTCACGAACCTGTTGCCGTCTCGCATGGCCCAAAAGGGCCCATCCGCTGCATACTCGCATTTGTGGCCGTGGCCCCGTAGTGCATCGATGAGGCACACGTCCAAGTACTTCTCCCGCTTGCCTCAGTAGTCGGAAACATTGCCGCGTATTCGATCGCTTGGCTACATTTACATGTTACTCTGACGTCGAGACGCTTGGGGGGCAGTCACGCGCATGAGCCTTCTGACGCAATGCCATTCCTGCAGAGGCATGGATCTGCCGACTCAGATGTGCTTGTCTGGCGAGTGCTGAGCAGTCTGCCTGATCGCTGATGTCTGCGACTGCAGCGACGTGCCCACATATGTCGCGGGATCAACTTCCAGTCAACATTCGCCTGTAACAGCATGGACGTTCATATGTCAAGCATCTCGTGGTGTTGTTTTATAGACAGCACCTTACCCAAGGCCTTAGCCACAGGCCGCTTCGATGTGCTGGGCCATGGAGCGAGTATCCTTTGTTGTTGCAATCTAGCACGACACATGGTAACATGCGATCGTGCATATAAACCGACCGTGAAGCACACGAACCTGTGGCAGATGTTGCTTCATTCTTCGCCAAGTCACTCAAATGGATCCACGTAGTTCTCGGAGGCGTCGCGGTTCCTCGAATGATATTAGAAGTACACATAGTTACAAACTCGGTCTCATACGTTCGAGCGATGGACATGTGCATCCACTTCAGATTGTCACGAACGAGCGCATCTGCAAGAGGTGCAAAGATACGCCAGTCCGACCTCGCTTACACATTCCGATCGAGTTCAAATGTATATCTGCTCGTGTGTTTCCGGAACATATGCTCTAGAAGTCAAGGTCGGCACGCGGTGACACCATGCCTCACCGAGATCACATGATCATATTCGACAACGAACATGCATGCTGAGTCGCCAACTCTCGGTCGGTGAGATTTTGGACTCCATAGACAGGACTGAAGTGATAAAACTTCTGCCTCAGTATCCGGAAGTCAATCGTTTCAGTATTGATTTAAACACGTAACTAAGAAGTCATCTTGCGCCCATTCACATGAGCATATTCGACAACGAACACGCATGCTGAGTCGCCAACTCTCGGTCGATGAGATTTTGGACTCCATAGACAGGAATGAAGTGGTAAAACTCCTGCCTCAGTACCCAGAAGTCAAGCGTTTCAGTCTTGCCTTGCACACATAACCAAGATGTCATCCTGCGCCCATCACTCACTGACAGGCGTGCTCCATCTGGATCAGCCGCTGGATGGTATGTCCTGGATCCGGAACGTCCACGGCAGACCTTGGAATTCATATATTTCCGTACTTGTGACAATGTAATAACTTACCGTGTTGGTATGGACCCTATTGCCTTCTGTCCGTATCAAAGTTGCGCAATGCCTGATTGCTGCTCTCCAGCCTTCGACTTCTCTGCCGCAGCCGCTTCGACAATGCCCGTCTCAGCTATCGATAAACAGAAAAGATCTGTCCCCGCCGCACGTGCTCTCAAGTGTGAACATCCTCCATAGTCTCGTACGCTCGATCAAAGTTCCTGGCCCACAGATATCGACCCTGGCGGAAGCTGCGTTGGGCGGACACCTGCATCCAAGGACAGCTTCCTATTTAGCGGGCCAGTGCACTCCTCACATGACTGAGAGCTCCGCATCTTCGCCTCCAACCTTACCATGCAGAAGGTCATCCATGCTAGCTCTTACAGCGGTGTTGCTACCACGACAACCACTCGATCACACCGGAGGAGTCCACGTTGTCTTCATCCACCGGCCGCGTTCGTCCAGCATCCCTTGCTACAATGTACAGACACACACACACACACTGACCACCTTCCATGTTTGGTCTATTGCCGACATGGTGCAGGCAGGCTTCGGACCTGAAACAATTGCTTCCGGGACATGTCCCTGAACATCTTGTTGCAAACATGGAAAGCAGTCCTCCAGCGACAGAAGTACCCGTTTCCCTGCAAGAGCAACACTGGGATATCAAGGTTTGCGGGTGCCGGGATCTGTTAAGGCCTTGATATTTCGTATCACTGAACCCAATGAGGTGCAGACGTCATAAAAACCACGCGGTCGTCAGCCGCGGCTGCAGGCCTTATCTGTTGGACTCTGTGTAACGCTGCATTGTGCTTCGATCCGATTGAGAAGGTCGCTCCACCCGCTGCCGGCGGCAGTCGTCCAGCGTTGCTGACCTGAAACAGAAGGTATGTGGGAGTTGGAGTCTTGCCCGGGAAATACTCATGGGATTCCCAGTCTTTATACATAACTGTGGCGCCGACGGATCGTCCTTCTCTGGCTTGTCGATCCTGCCATACCACATACTGCCCGTTCGCGCTTCTCTAGCCTACGCAGATATCACGTGACTGCCTCACCCAGCGATTTTGGTACGGCACGAAGACACCTTCGATGATATCCAGAACAAAGTTCATCAATGTGCACATACAAATGGATAGCAGCATACGATCGAGTGCGCGTCCCAGACGGCTGCACGGTGGGAGGACGGTGTTCCACCCTTGTGTCAGCTTGTTTGTGGATAAGTCTACCATGCCGCAACTTGGGCTTCGTGCGCGTCGTCCGCGAGCCACGGGCATGCTGAGAAGCAAATCATGGTCCTGCAGTGTCATGTCGGTGCGGAGTTGTTATGATATTCTTGCAGTATGCAGTCAAGGCACACGAGAATCTGCGTGGAAAGGAAGTGCTGTGTAAGCTTGAGCCAAGAACACTCTATAACGGCAACAGAGCTCACCCTAGTGCAAGCGACAGTGACAGCAGCGAGTTGTCCGCCGGATGGCCGTCCAATACTCCGTTGCAACACGCAGACTTGCACTGACATGACTCTCAGACCTGTCATGTTAAGATAAACGAGCTCGGGCACACCGATCATCTCGCGAAATTGTGATCGTCCGTCCAACCTCGTGCTGTAAGATAGGCCCGACTTACATCGTCGGATCTGCATGCTAGCGTTTCATGCTATAGCTGCTGATCCACTATGTTCTTCATCAAAGAGCACGCCATCTTACAGATCCCGTAGAGACAAACTGTTTTTTTTTAGCGCCGGGATCTGTGTAGGTCCCGTCTGCTCCGACCGTTACGAAGCGCTGCGGGGGTTTGCGGCTTGATGTATTAACTACAGAAACCCAACGTGCTCTATCTCTGGCAACTAAAGAGACAGACTGTATGTTGATATATTAGACGCATGAGACCCACGATATTCTTAGGGCCCTCCTGGATCCAGCGTGACCGACCCTATTCGTCGGGTCGGATATGCTCGCTGCTGGGTTTTGTCGTTCTTCTCTAGAGAGCATGTCTGACCCTGACTGATTTGGGCTACATGTCGAGCCGTCCAAGCTCGGGATTCACGCAGGCAAATGGCGAAAGAACTTGACCTCCCTGCCCTATAAGCCCGCCGAATGGACGCCATGTAGTTTTTGAAGGGATTCCTTCAGAGTTCCTTCCTATACATATGTACAGATGATACTACTCTTAAGGACCCCGTACCCTAGTTACGGTCTCGGGTTATCGCCATGCCGTTGGTGTTTGCTATGCTTACATCCATGCGCTTCACTGCTACACGACAGCACCACCCGACCGGCCTGCCACTCCATCTCCGGGCCGGTTCACCTGCCACAAGGCTCTTGTGAGTTCTGGTCCACACTTGCAGAACGTGCTCTGTCCGCCAATCCAAGCAGACGCTCCTTTTATAGATGCCTTCGCATCTAGGACTTACGGGAGTACAGCGCCCAGGCACACACGCCGACGCTGGGTCGGTGCGGCCTCGTGGCGTTTTGAAAACCCCGCCGTAGCTGCTCGCAGGCCTCGCAGTGTCGCGGGTCTTCCTTAGGAAACCCTGGATACAGCTGGCCGCTCGCATCAGGCTTACCCTTGTGATTGGGAGCGGGCTCGCCGGGAGGGATGAAAGGTCTGCGTTCGCGGACTTTTCTTCCCTCCGGCTTGCCCTCTGCCTTTGGCGCGCCAGGAGCTCGTCTCCCAGTACCGGGGTTGGGGGTAGGTGGGGGTGGGCTGGTTTTGGGGGGCGGTGTCTTGGCCACCTCCTTCCCCCCTCCTGGCGACTCACCCGAGACCTTCGCCTTGCTGCTTCCGTCCGGTGCCTTGTCTTCCTTCTCGTCCTCACTTGAGCTCCCAGGCAGCACAGGAGAACCAGACGAGAAAGAAGACGACCGACTTTCTTCCATCTCGTCTAACTCCTGCTCCTTCTTCTTTATGGAGACCAGGAGACTCCGCAGTTTTTTATGATCTTCTCGAATGGCGCCTTTCTTCTGCAGATACTTAGCCTTCATGACCCCCAGGCCAAGGCGAACCGATGAGCCAGTCGAAGGCATTGCGAGCAAGGAAATTTCGGATGGCAGGCAAGAGCTCAGGTTCTCGAGCCGACCCAAATTGCGTTATTCCGTCAATCCGCTACCAATGACATCGCGCACGACTGTAGCAGCACTACTAACAACTGATGCATGCAAGCGTCCTCGCCTTCGCGATTGCGATGAAAGGGATCGCAGAGTCGGCAGCGTATCCTGACGGGAATGCCGGACATGTGTTTCGAAGCGCTTGTTCGGAGAATCTTTGGTTCATAACTCAGTGTGCAGCATCGCATGAATGTTGTAGCATGTTGCGTGTAACAAGTCACGACAAGGCTGTTAGAGGTAACAAAGCCCCCGTAAGTACTGTACAATATTGTGCTGGAGGGTGTGATGAAGATGATGAAGATGATGAAGATGATGAAGATGATGAAGAGGATGAAGATGATGAAGATGATGAAGATGATGAAGATGATGAAGATGATGAAGATGATGAAGATGATGAAGATGATGAAGATGATGAAGATGATGAAGATGATGAAGATGATGAAGATGATGACGATGATGGAGATGATGAAGATGATGGAGATGATGAAGATGATGGAGATGATGAAGATGATGAAGATGATGAAGATGAAGAAGATGATGAAGATGATGAAGATGAAAATGATGAAGATGATGGGAGGGGGGATGATGAAGATGATGGGGGGGTGGGATGATGAAGATGATGGGGTTGGGGTCGGGGTGGGTCCCGGGAGTCCCGGGCGTGGGAAATTAAATAATTTAAATAATTTAAATCGAGAGCCCCCCTCCAGGATTTAAATTATTTAAATTATTTAAATGGGGCCGGGAATTAAATAATTTAAATAATTTAAATAATTTAACTAATTTAAATCCTGAAGGGAAGGGG